TAGGAAAAAGGCAGAAACGTGCAGCAATAAAAGCAGAATCTCGTCAGACCTCTGGTCAAGTAAGCACGACTCTCGTGTGGCTCATCTCCATTCCACGGGCTTTCTTTAAAAAATGGGGGTAAACTGCATGACAACAAGAAAATGGAAAGAAAGGAAAAGCTAAAATAGGGTCCAAATCAGTAAACTCCATGAACACATCCTGCCACTTGGTTCTTGGAGTGAGAAAGACCATACTTACTGCTGTCGCAAAATGGTGAATGACAGCGATGGAGACGCAGGCATCACAAGACCCGCTGCGGACTGGCACTGCCAGCGCGTCGCAGACCACGGCCTGATACCGCCTCTCTCTGCAGATGTCCACGAGGCTCTGACTACGATCACAGCCAATCTGCAGCAGGTAGAGAAAGAATTTCGTAACATCTTGTTTAAATGTCATGAAGTTACTAGATTTCATATGCATTGTGAAAGGATCTAAGACCCATGATATTATCAGTTCTTACAGCTCATACAGAGTCAGATTACATAATTTACAGGGCAGCATTTATTGCCTTAACAGCTATCAAACAGAACTCAAATTAGTGAAAGGAACAAAATGACTAGAATAAAAATAACACTGTTGGAAATGGGAGATCCTAATTGGCATCTAGTTGATCACTATTCAGAAATCTAGGTCTCTTTTGTAATATCACACATTTAAAAATGGAGATTATCCCATAAACACAGACATTTAGTCGTTTGCGGGGAGCGGCAAGTAAGCGGTCCTAAGGCATCTCCTACCGTATAAACCACCCAGCGATGGCCCAGCCAGCAGGAGCGCGGCTTATTTTTTTTCCTGTTTCTTTATACTTTTCAATATGTATTGCTCGTACCATGAGAAAATAAAATCCTCCCCCCAAGAAAGTTAAATAATTTATTTCATTTTTTAAAGCTATTGAGTCTTATTCTGCTAAATACCTCATCTACACATATCGAGAATAAAGTGCTGAAGTCAAAATTTGTAAAATGCTATTGAATTAAACCTTTTAGTACAACCAAACCATTCTGCCGCAACGACAACACTTGATGGCAGCCAGCAGCATCCTTTAATCTCTCCAAGCAGGTGAGGCCTAACATGCCTTATGCATATGTCTGTTCTGTGGCAAGTGTCTGGGAGCTAGGACCACCCATCTTTTCTCTGGTTTTGTATGCAGTTTTTCTGTTTAGTTTCATATATATATACATATATGTGTATATATATAGAGAGACAGAGACAGACAGCGCTCAAGCGCACACTTGCACATGCGCA